GGGGGGGTGATGAGCACAAGGCAAAGGATCACAGTTTTCGTGGCAGAGGCTGGCAGTGACCATCCCTTCATAGTGTTCGGAGCAGAGGCTATGCCGTGTACATGCTAACTGAACTGTAGCTGTGCAAGGACACAATGGGAGGGCAAAGTCACCATCCCCTGTAGAGGCCCCTTCACTGTTCGTGGTAGAATCCGTCCGATCCTCACACACAGGAGAAGAAGGAGGTTCAGCTGGACTGCTCTTCGGAGGCTGTTGTGCTTGTGAGTGCTCATCGACATACTGTTCCTGATGGACGGGCCAGACCGAGTGATGTTCTACCACTTGGTGATAGTAAGAGTTAATATCTCCTGTTGTGTGCACCCTACTGCCGTTACCCCATAGGGTCCATGAATTATCCGCAAAGGTAACAACACTGAAATGACCTGGACAATGCAAGATGTATGCCCGAATATTCAGATCCATGTCTGGCACGTGATTTTGTGGAGCAGGCTGGAGTTGCAGCCCCCTACCCATAAATGCCATAGACAGGACTTCTATGTTCATGCCAGGTGCAGTGCTGTCGTCCTCTCGGCAGACGACACGGTGCTCTTCTTCTATCCAGCGGATTACCGCTGCGAAATCAGAAACAGTATAAGGGTTGCAATTGTAAGCAAGGAGACATACATTAATGGCATAATACTCACAGCGGCCTCGCTGCAGCACTATGATATCATCCGATTCTGCAGGTTGTGCGGTAGGAGGAGGTTCATCCGAGCACACGCTCTGGAGAGAGATCATCTCGAGTTGGGAGCTCCATCAGGTGATCAGAAGGTGGATCGTTGTCATTTGGGCCAGGGGAGCAAGCAGGCTTAGGTGGAATTGGCGGGTCAGATGTATGAAGCAGAGGTTGATCAGCCACATTTGTGCTCAGAGTGGCTGCTTGTTGTGCGAATGCTGCGCAGGTAGCTGCACCTCGTGTCTGGTGCACATGCAGGCCTGCAGCACTGAAGAAATCATCGCCACATTGCGGGCATCAGACTCGATATGTACGATTCCTGGCTAGTGTATACGCTATTTGTTGTGGCTGGCATGGTCCCCAGCTGAGTTGGTGCATGCACATTATCGTCTGCCATTTCAGCAGGAATAGCAGGAGAGGGCGGGCCCGCTGCATTTGATTGTGAGGAGGGCTGCTGCTGGTGATGCCTGTGGTCAGGATTGGTGTTAGGGAGTGGGTGGTGGCCTGCTGCAGTGGTTGTGTAGAGGACCTGTGCGCAGAATTAGCATGCGGCAGTGGGTAAACAATCGCCCAGCGCACCATGCGGCGAAACCAGTTCGAAAGCTGTATGACATAAGTGGGTAGCCGGCGCTGCCGGCCACACACATATGCAGTTCAGCCTCTGGCCAGGACACTGGGAGGATGGCCCCTAACAAGCATACATCGTGTCAGGGAAGTCACTGCAGCTTTGAAGTCGATAGTATTGTTACAGATATGTTTGAACCTCGTAAGCTGTCCCGTAAAGACGCCTGCGGGCTGATGAGCCGGGGCATTGGAGGAAGCACTGGGATATCGTATAACAGGGAATGTCCAGGCCTCAGCCTTATCAAATACACCAATGTGAAGCGAACCATGTGTGTGTGTGTGTGTGTGTGTGTGTGTGTGTGTGTGTGTGTGTGTGTGTGTGTGTGTGTGTGTGTGTGTGTTCTCATACGTTATGGGGCCACCTGATTGCATATGGGCTATCTGTATCTCGAGACTTAACTGACTCTGGCGGGACTCCAGGGTCAAGTGAAGGGATATGTGGGAGTAGTACGCCCGATGATGTAACCTGATCTATTGATGCCGTTATTCTCTCTATGCTACCCGTCTATGCTGAATGGCAGCGATCCCATAACATAATGTGCTAGCGTTATTAAACTAATTTTGTTTGGGACATAATCTGACCAGCTGACCAGCTGCCATAACATTATGTGTGTGCTAGACCCTGATCGCCCGGTCTGCTGCCCTGATACTGGGAATATATTACATCCCAATGGTTCTCTAAGGGGGTGGACGTCAACCTGCTATGTCAATGATACATGTTTAATCAATGAGATGGTGTTACAACGAAACAAAAGAGGTTAGGAACATAACAAGTGGGAACATAACAAGTGGAAAGAAACATTCGAGGGGGACTCTGCTTTTGGGGGTAGAAGGAAAGACAAAGCAAAGAGAAAAGAGTCATGGTGGGTCTTGATTAGGAAAATAACAAGTGGAAAGAAACATTCGAGGGGGAAAGAAAAGAGTCATGGTGGGTCTTGATTAGGAAAATAACAAGTGGAAAGAAACATTCGAGGGGGACTCTGCTTTTGGGGGGAGAAGGAAAGACAAAGCAAAGAGAAAAGAATCGTGGTGGGTCTTGATTGAGCATGAAGTTTGTTTTTCTTGTGCAGGACGTCAATGAGGCCGAGCTTCCACATGAGCACGTGGTAGTCAATTCTCAAGAGAATGTCTTCTACTTCCCAGCTGGTGCCGGTAGGGCTGGGGGGAGCGAGGAGGAAACGGTGCAAGAAACTGGTAATTGGCCGACTGCATGTCCCAATGAGAGGCGGGCGAAGGGAGGGAAGCCATCCTTCACTGACCTTCCCATTCTCAGTCCTGCAGCAACCTCACAGCAGCTTGAGGAATCCAGGGTGTGCTCGAGTACAGTTCCGCTCCCACCATCATGTGCCATATGGCAATCATCAGCTAACTTACCTCTGATTGGGCCCCACAACGTTACAGCAGAGCTTTCGCACAATGATGTCCGACATGTGGATTCAGTTGACAAGTTGAACAGGGCAGTGGGTGAAGGCATCCACGAGCAGCCAGCTACTGAGGTGGAGGAGCCATCCTCGCGCCCCCTTCAAGCTCATCCAGCTGGTTCTTCTGTGCCAGAATTGGACTCTGACAATGTTGTCAGAGCTAGCTTAGTGTCAGTGGGGGAAACTGAAAAAACGTCTGATGTCGAGAGTGCACCTGGTTTAGTGACTCCTGTGGCAACGACGACGGGCGATGTGCATTGCCTGATGTCAACATCAACGCCGGTTCTGCCGATGGCCTCTCATAGCACTAGAAAAGGGCTGTTGGACGAGAGGGAGGAAACTTGCGGTTTGGCAACAGCCCCAACGGCGGCTGATGGGGTCGGCTCAATACCAACATTGATTGTGCCAGAATCTCCTCATGGCACTGCAAAGAAGCAATTGGGCTCCAGAGAGAGGGAACCCCATGGATTGATGCTGACTGCTGGAAGGGTTGATGACATTGATCTGCTATCTGCTGGGAAAGGGAGGCCAGGGACTGTGGAAGAGCCTGAGAGTAGTCAAGCCGCAGCTACGAGGGTTGATGGTCTCTGTTCGACACCTGCACCGATCCTGCCGGCATCTCCTCATGGCACTGCACAAAACCAGTTGCGCGTCAGAGATAGAGAACCCCATGTATTGGTGGCGACAGTTGCAAGGGTTGATGACACTGATCGGATATCTGCTGGGAAACAGGGGCTGTGGGCTGCGACAGAACCTGCTAGTCGAGCTACAACTGCGATGGTTCATGGTGTCGATTTGACACGAACATCGACTGTTTCAGCATCTCCTCATGGCGCCACAAAGAACCCACTGGAAACCAGGGAACCCCAAAGATTGGCATCGATGGCAGCAAGGGCTGGGGGCATTGCTCTAGCATCTGCTGGTAAAGGGAGCTCAGGGGCCTCCATGATGAAGCCTGCTAGTCAGGATGAAGCTTCTCTGTCAGCAGCAGATGGAGGGTGGTCTGCGTTTCAAGAAGTAAGCAAGGGAGGCAGATTGCAAAAAGGACAATTGCCGAGTCCCTCTGCTGTTGCTCTGTCTGCTGCGACAGTCCTCGCCGCCATCCGGAAAAAGAAGGCTGCTTTGGCATCAACAATGCCTGCCGCCAAGCACGCGTTACCGGCAGCGCAAGCCGACCCGCCAGAATCCCTGCTTGCTGAAACTGCGGTGCCTAGGAGAAAGCCTGCTAACAGCACTCTGGAGCCTCTGCCTTCATTGATGATGAGAAACCCAACAGCGCCTCTGAACCTCGCTGCTTATACCAGTGGCAATGCGTTGGCCTCCCCTTCTGTTTTGCGCTGGGAGCAGGAGAGGCAGGAACAGCAGAAAGGAACTCCTCCTCCTGTGAGGCCTATGCCACCTTCGCCATCTCTCCAAGAGTCAATCACAGTAGAAGGCCCATCATCAGATGTGGCTGCATTGGCTCCCCGAACATCTCTTGGAAAGTCTCATGCTCATGCTGAAAAGCCATTCTGCATGGCAAGCCCGAGAGTGCTTGCAAGGACTGCTGATGCAATCGCCTCTCCTTCTCCCCACGAACGGCGAATTCAGATGCAACCGCAACCACCTTGCAGCGCTGAAGGCCATCATCTAAGGCCTCCACATCCCCGAGTGAGCATAACTCGATCATCACAATCATCACCGATGGTGCAAACATCATCTTTGGCTTTATCATCATCATCAGCGCTTACCCCCGCTTTGCGAGAATCTGTTGAACTGATATCCACTGTGAACAGCCCCAAGTGCCCTGCAGCTACTATGCCCTCCCAGCTCACATGGGGACAGGAGAGACCTCCACAGCAAAAACAGTGGCTGCGAGCTCATCCCCCTTTTAACCACCCCATGGTGTCCACGCCATCAAGCCCTGATGATGTGGCTGCCAGACTGGCATCATCATCACTCCCGGTGATGCAACCTCCACGATCAACATCATCAGCCAAGAGCACTCTACAGTCAGTGCACGCCCACAGCGCTTTGGAATCACATATCCTCACAAATCTGCATGCAAGTGTTGCCTCAGACTTGTTGAGCAGTCAGATATCTGTTCCTGTGCTTGGATCCGTTGAATCGGTTTCAGGGAAGTCCTTGCGAAATGCAGAACAAGATGTTCACCATGTGTCCCAAGTCTTGGGGGCGCCGAGGCCGATAAGTGCAACCGGGAAGGATTCTGCAGTGGCTAATCAACCAACTGACACCTCGGGCTTTCTCCCCGGACATCGGCCGCATGGAGGGGTATCACGGGGTGAGGTGAGGGTGTCGTTGCTGACTGCTGAGGAGCATTCATGGTACATTCAGACACAAGGTGTTCGTGAGGTACTTACATTCTGGGCTGATCGTCAGCAGTGCCTCCTCCTCCTTGCAGTTTTTCCCTCCGTTCGCTGTGTTTGTCTTGTTCATCTCTGTTTGTTGCTTGGTTGTGCCGGATTTGGAAAAGTTCAGGAAAGAAGGTTTATGCGATGGACAAACAAGCATGAACGGTTTCTTTCCACTGCACTGTAATTGCACCTCGCTACATCATCACAGCTGTTGATGGAAATAATCTATGGCTGCCAGCTGCTAGTATTGCTATTTTTAGTGCTATGGAATGATCCCCTAGTGTTTGAATAGAATGGAAAAGTAAGCGCCGCAGGTAGCTATGAAACAGAAAAGGCAGTTCTGAAAATAGATACGGACCATATCGATGGTAGTGGATGTAGACTCGGCTATGATCTGGATGGTGCATGCGGCCCTTGCCTGTTTCGCTGCTGAGGTTTTGTCACCGGTTTTTGAAGAAATGAGGTGAAAGGGGCTCAATCTGAGGTCCCCAAGGGGGGGCACTAAGAGAACCGAGACAAAGACTTGGGTCTCCCATGTAGATAATGCTCCCAACGTTTCTGAGTCATAAGGAGTGCTTCCAACGTTTCAGAGCCATGAAGAGTGTTTCAATGTATCGGCCATGTAGATAATGCTCCCAAGAGACGTGTTTTAAAAGGCATCTTCATAGACATGTTCTCCAGGGCCCAACCACCTGAGCCCTGGGCTCAACTGTACAGCACAGCCCTTGCTTCTGGAAAGAGCCCGGAGTCTCACGTTGCTCTGTATCGTGCCCACATATGGACACTGTCGAAAACAGGCCTCACGTGGATATTCAGGCCCGCCTTCACTTAGGGCGGGCACGAGCTTGCTAGGGGGCCGCAGCCCAGAAGACTTGTATGTCTGATAAGGCCCCCGCAAGGCTCATTCCTCGCATTCCACCCCCCTTAGCTTCGAAAGTCTGTTGAGATGCTTCTACGCTGGTGCCTTTCCCTTCAGTCTTCGTTCGTACTCGGTCACGATCTGGTGCTGTCTTGACAAGCTCCTCTCTTGTGAACCAACGATCTTCTTTTGGATCACTATTGTGCCTGGAACTGACCCGGTACTCCCTCATAGGTTTGGGTGGTCTTCCCCTGCCAACAGTCTTGGGAACAGGCAAGTCCCTATGTTCCAAGATGTCGTCGACGTCCACTTGGCATCCATGGTTGGGGGCAGAAAGTGGGTCCACGTGGGACTCCTTTTGGTTGGGACTCGGTCACGGCGTACGTGGGACCGAGCCCAAGCAATAAGGGCACCTTGGACTCAAATTTGTTAGACATTGGTTCATTCTCTGGATTCGGAGGTTATTCTTTTGGTTAGGACACTCGATACCGAGGGGATATCGGATGAGACGTTTCACATGCTTTCATCGCACCATCCGTGGCTAGACTCAGACCTTGTACACCACTCAGTTCTCCATTGTTCATGTCGTCACTTGTTGTCTGATTTGTTGTACGTTCACGGAACTGGTCAGTCTGGACTCGAGAGGTTCTCGTGTTCAGACTGATCAAGCTGAGTCCCTGGATCAGACCTCTCATTTGAATTTATTTATTTTTTTATTATTTTTTTTTATTGGTTGCTCTCTAGTCCAAATGTAATGTCGCTCCGGCTAGGAGTTCTGCCTTCTCTTTCTTTAAGCTTTTCCGTTTGTCTCTTTCTCCGAGTTCGTTTTCGATGCCCGTGGAGACTCGTAACCAAAGGAAAGAGAGAGAGGAGAGAGAGAGAAAAGGAAGAGCAGGAAAGTGACCGTTTTGAGTTGGCAAGGACTGGGAAGCGGAGCGTTCGTCCAAGCGAAAGGGAGAGTGTACCCCTTGAGAGTCCGATTGATTCCTTTGCTGGTTGGCATCTCTCCAACCCATCTGTCGACGGTAACGGTCCAAAAATGGCGCAGTCACAGCTAACCTCAGCGTAGTGGCAGGCCTTATTGAATGCAGCTAGTGAGGTGGAAAACCGCATCTGCGGGCAATCTATGATAGTGCCCTCAAAAGGGAACAACAGATGGAGGAAGAAAGGAGGAAAATGTTGCTCACAAGTCAGTTGTCCATCTTGGAAACTGTTACCTCACTAAGCAAAGAACAGTGTGGGGAACAACTGCAGTGGTGAAACTCACGGATCACGAGCTCAGTTAGGGCATGAGATGGCAATGGAATCAGATTTAGGAATTTGGAAAAACGGTGAACAATCACCATCGCTAACGAATATTCATTCTTACTGGTGTTTCCCATGTCCGTGAAGTCAATAGAGACGGACTCTCCAGGACCGTCAGGAATGGGAAGAGGTTTGAGCAGCCCCATGGGCTTTTGCCTTGATGGTTTGATTCGTTGACAGACTTGACATTCAACCTCGAACTTCTCAGCAGATCCTTTCATACCAAGCCAGTCAAATTGCTGCAGCAGGTTTCCGTAAGTTTTTGCAATGCCGAAGTGTTCACTCGGACCGTGAGCCAAATCCAAAAAGTGTGTGCGGAGAGGCTCATGGTTGGGTACGCACAAACGGTCATTGTTTCCATAGCGTCGGGAAACCAAACCTTCACATTTGTGAAAATCAGGCTGACTGTTGGGGTCAGCCCGCAGCTGCTCAAGGATTGAACTGAGGTCCGAATCCTTGGCAGTTTGTTCCACGAGTTCCTCCTTCAGTTTCTTCATGAGGTCTTAGGAGCTCACAAGGCAAGTCATATAGTCAGGGTGGCGAGACAACGCATTAGCAACTCGATATAATAACCCTTGTGTTTTAATTCAAAATTGAAAATGTCAATCTCATGAAACCAGCGAGTCAACGTAGGGGACAAGGTAGTTTGCTCCTCGATCCACCTAAAGGTCTTGTGATCCGAGAAGACCTTGAAGTGGCGTCCCGAAAGATAGTGCTTCCAATGGTTGAGTGCCTCATGCAAAGCATAAAGCTCGCGCATGTAAGTGGGAGTAGCTACCTTTTCGCTGGGCATGCGTTTGCTGTAATATTCGAGCGGCCATCATCTTGTTGCAACACTGCGCCAATCCCATATTGGCCCGCATCCGAAGTGACTACGAACATGAGTTTGGGATCTGCAATGCGGAGCACAGGATGACTCACCGAGGCCTCTTTCAAGGCAGTCTCACATGCCTCGTCCCATGCATAGGATATATTCTTGCTTGTTAGTCTAGACAATGGGCAGGCAATGATAGAGAATCGGGGCACGAACTTCCGATAGTATGATGCAAGACCAAGAAAGGAACGCAGTTCACGGACATTCACCGGTTGAGGCCATTCACATAGGACCTCAACCTTGGTCGCCTCTGGCTCAACGCCTATAGCAGACAACCGGTGCCCTAGATACATGACGCTGTCCCTCCCAAACTCAGATTTCTCTAAGTTGAGATGGAGCTGCGTTTTGTTGAGGATTTCCAACACTTCATCAAGGTGTCTCAGATGTTCTTCCATTGATTTGCTGACAATCAAGATATCATACAAATATACGACAACGAATCGACGTACGTATTTGTTCGCGAAAGACTTTGTCCATGAGACACTGGAAGGTGGTCAGCGCATTCATGAGGCCGAAGGGCATGGCGGTAAATTCGTACAGCCCATCGCGCGTCTTGAATGCGGTTTTGTGTTGGTCCGCAGGATTGACCTCAATCTGGTGCTAACCGGACTTGAGATCAATCTTGGACAAGACCTTGCACCCACCTGCAACATCAAGCAGGTCATTGATGCGCGGCAATGAATATGCATTCTTCTCTAGGTTACCAATGGTCCGGGGGCCGGACGTCTCCCCCGGACGTCTCCCCCATATGTCCGGTACCCCTGTCGCGGTTTTCGATTTTTAACTCATGATTGACTGCGAATTTGAACATGACTCCAAGGCAAAAGTTGCTTGTCTTGTTATGTTACATAACATATATGTTTTTTCAGATTTTTCTGAGAACTTTTTTTTTTTTTTTTTTTTTTTTTGCGCTAGGTCGGACAACCCCTGTCCGGTCGGACGTCCGACCAGACGTCCGGTCGGACATCCCGGACGGTCAGGGGGGTCCCGGACGTCCGATCCAACAACCTAGATTCTTCTTGTGATGCGGTTTGAACCGCGATAATCAATACACATTCAGAGCTTACCTCCTTTCTTTGGGACAAACAAAATAGGTGCATCGAATTGAGATTTTTTTGGCTTGATCCACCCTTTGTCAATCATCTCATCAATTTGCCTCCGGAGTTCTTCCAACTCGTCGGATCCCATACAGTACACACAACCCTTTTGAGGAATTGCGTCATCGACGAACGTGATCGTGTGTTTCACCGATCGCATGGGGACACGCGGTTCGGCCAGAACTTCCGGAAATCGGTTGAGCAAGCTTTAGATGTTTGTTGGGATTTTCAGGGGTGGGGGATCAGAATAAGGCTCACCTAAATCAGGCCGCAGATTAGTAGTGAAGGCAACCGAATCTGAACTAGAATCATTTGGACTAGAGGTGGATAGAGAAGTAGAAATACTAGAAGTAGGCACATCAGGCGAAGTAGAAATAGTACCAGCCGCAAAAGTAGAAGACACATGAGTAGGACAAACAAAAGCAACATACAATTGCTCTTCCTTCTTATGCTTGCGCCACTTCTTGCAGAATTGTATTGCATTGAGATAAGTCACTTGGGATTTACTCTTCTTGTCTAGTAATAATGTGTGTTCATTCCCCAAAGCATTGTGCACCACAAAAAAAATCAACCTTCCACTTAGTCCACTTGCATTGGGACCATAGCCAGCCCAGCCAAAGGACTATGTCGAAAGGGCACTTGTCAAGTATATAGAAGTCGAGTGCATGTGTGGCAGTCTTACCGTTGTCAAAGGTAGTGCGCACACCTTTGACCGCATGCGTGGAGGAGACAACTTCTTTGTTGCTTACTTGGGTCTGATAAGGGGCCTGCAACTCCACTTGCTTCATTCCCAAGCCCACCTTGCATAGCCTGTGTGGAGACATGAAGTTAGTAGTTGCGCCACAGTCAAGCAAGACACGGAG